TGCTCTGGTCCGTTTGATAAATGGGTTGATCTGTTGGCTTTTAGCTTGGGATTTGATATATACCAGCTGGAGAGTCATTCCTAGCAGATTTTTCTTCATTCCCTCTCTCGCGTCTCTGGAAGCTTCTAGTCGTCCTCTGTGTTTTGAGTTTTTTGTGATCTCTTCTCCCTTTCTTAGTGAATCTTGGGTTGGATTTTAACTACTGGTTTTAATCCGTTTGATAATCTTGGTGATTAGCTGCCTTTGTGGTTGGTGCGAGAGAAGAGCAGTCCGATTTTTGGCTATGTTTTGTCTTCGAGCCATTGAGTAACCTTATGTGGTTTAGATTAGGGATTTGAGTGTTTGTAGCTATTGCTTTGTACAAAATGGTACAATGATTTATTTTGAGCCCAAAATGCAATAAGAATTTGTTTCTTGCTTTGTGCGATAAGAGAATCCCAAAGGAGTGGCTCAATGTTGGCAACTGAAGTAGGTGAATGGTTTTAATAGTGGGACGTCAATTTCCTCACCTACCTAACGCCACTTCACCCCCAAACGCCCATATTAAATGCTGCGCCCCTGGTTTTCTATGTTATGGCACTAAAATCAATTATTAGATGACAAAACATGTTATATAATAGAATTTTAAGTTAAAATAATAATCACTAAATATTTCAGAAAAACATCATAGTATCCTTGTGGTAATTTGATATTTAACATACTTATAAATAACAGTTTTTGTTAAAAAATAAATACTATATACATAGATAGCTTATCCAAATGTAAGCACAGCCTAAATCTTCTTTTAGTGAGGTCTACAACGTCACTAAAGTAGCTCCTAATCTTTATTAAAATCTTTGTATATCATCTTATTACCGAATTCTTATCGGTTGCAATTACAGTAAAACATAGAACCATAAAATTACACTCAAGAAAATCCTAAACACAATGTAATGATTCACTTCAGCATGAAGGTTCCACTTAATTATATGAGATTTGCTTAGTGTTCTTTAAATTTTTTTTCTCTTCTTTTAAAAGGGGATCAACAGATTTCACCCCTCCCCTCCAAATGGGGGCTCGAACACAGGTCATCAGCTTGGTAAAGCTTCGCTCATAAACACCGGTTGATTTCTTTCTTAATGCAGCTACTTAATATATGGAATCATATCTATAAATAGCAATTCCTTTCTCAGTATTCAACATCTGTGTCCCATTTGGTTAAGCTAAAAAATGAGAGGAAAAAAAGTTTTTCAAGCATGGCTAGGTTACCTCTCTTAAAAAGTAAAAAAAGTTACTTGTTTAGAAATTAACTCTTACCACATTGTCAAAGTAAGTTACTTGTTCCAATTATGAATTAAATAATTATTTTCAATGTGAACTTTTTAAGCTTAGCTAAACATGGAGAACACTCTCCTCTAACTAAAAGTTGATTGTAAGCCACAGATTCACTATTTCTTTAACTGAGCATTCACGTTGTCTTATTTCCTCCTTTGATTCCCCTGTCTCTTGATTCTTGCTGTTATTTTGCTCTGTTTTTTTTTTTTTTTACGGTCTTATGCAAAATTAATAACATAGCAAAGTAGAAACCCAGTGAGCTCACATTGCATACAGGACTCTAAAGTCCTTAACCAGCACAAGCCCGGTAAGCAGTGGCAGACCCAGCATTGAAGTTCAGCCCGGGCGGACGTTGACCATTGACCGTCGACAATCAGCAATTGTAGGAGAGAAATTCTTCATAAATATTTAATTAAATAATATTAAAAAATATTCAATAGACATGTAAATGCTAATTTTCTTAATTCTTGTTGTTTTCTTCAAATTTATAAATGTATTCACAAAAAAATAAAAATAAATAAAAGAACTGAAATAGAAAATAAAATGAATTTGACTTGCACGTATAAAAAATAAGGGGGTTCAAAACGACATAACCGAAACAAATAAGTACTTGATCTTTTGAACTTACTTGGCAAATCCCAAGGTTCAACCTTGTTTAAGTCCACTTCTCCAATAGCTTTTGCACTGAAACTGCTGTCAATTACCTTAGGAGATAAATAATGAGTTATAAGCTCTTCATCTGTTGGATGGAATCGAAATCCTGGAGGTAATTCAATCTCCTCGTCTACTCTACTAAAACCTGATACTTTTTCCATTTCAATTGAGTCCTCCTTCCCTTCTAAACTGAACCCTCTATATCAAGAATATAGATCAAATATTGGTCTTAGCCTCTTAGGCACATTTTCTAGTAGTGAAAGGGTATGGCGAGAAATGAAGAAAAGGCGAGAAAAATTTGAGAATTAAAGATGGAGAAGTTGAAAGAATTTATACAAAGTTTGTTAACTGTGAAAGATTAAGAGGTTTCGCAGAGGAAAAAGGTGTTCCAAGGAACAAATTGCACAAATAGTGGCTTTTAGAGGAGAAATAAAGGTGGGATGTAAGGAAACTTGGCTGTATAGTTCCACCTTTCGATGCCCTCTCCACTTTTATTCTATCATATCATCTGCCCATGACTCCCCAATCCCCATTATTTTCAGCATCCAAAAACACTCTCTATCTCCAATTAAGAAAATGCATACAAATAAATAATACCCAGTTACACCATAATCATCAAAAAAAAAAAAAAAAAAAAAATATCCNCAATCTCCAATTAAGAAAATGCATACAAATAGATAATACCCAGTTATACCATAATCATCAAAAACCAAAAACAAACAATATCCAGATCAGATCAAGAAGGACAAAATAAACATAACTGGCCGATTGTCAAGAAGAAGCCTTTTACCGGTAGGCAGCAGCAGAGCAGGGAGAAGGAGAAGTGAAGATCCGCCCGGTGAAGGAGTGAAGGCATAGGATTTGGACTTCAGAGGATGGAGCCTCAGCCGGTATGAAAATTATTTCATTTAATTGGGCCTCATTTTTAAAAAAATGCCCAACTCTCTCAGCCCAACAAAGGGCCAAAACTAAGGGAAAAAAACGGCCCACCTTCCATCTTCTTCCCATCTTCTGTGTGTTTGCTGCAACCTTCTCTGTGTTTGCTGCAACGAGCCAACGACCCGGCGGTGCCCGACGGAATTGAAGGCTCCGGCGGATCCAGCACGGGCGGCCGCCCCCCCTCGCCGGGTGCTGGGTCCGCCCCTGCGGCGGTAAGTGCAGCTTTCAAAATGACAACTAAGATAGCATTGGGCATGGTAATATAGAGCATAAACAAAATGGAATCTGTTTGATTTACATCAAAGTTAAGTTGTAGCTCGGCGTTGGCTTCTGGCGCTGGAATTGCTCGGTCGACCCTTTCATGAACTCTGACTCTTCTGGTACCATCTACCACATGAGCTTTCCCACCTAAACCTCGTTGCCTGTAGTTAAGATAAACGTCAGAATATAATTGATATTGGTCAAAAAATTTCTTGAAATCAAGGAAGTAAAAGCACCTTCTGGCATATTCATTTCCTTGTTAAGATAAATGTCAGCATATAATCAAGGAAGTTTCCCTCTTTTGACTTCCATGCATTTCTCATCTATCATTAGAAGTCTTTAGTTCTTTTAATGTTGAATCCTGGGTAACCACAAGAGAGAGAGAGAGAGAGAGAGAGAGAGGCATTCAATTAAGCACTGAAAGCACATGCGACATTGCAAAAGCATTAAAGTTCATTCAGTCAAGCGTTAAGCAATATCCAATTAGCAGTAGCAATTTCCTGTCTCCGATCCTTGAAGAAAGTACTTCTATCATTGGGCCCAGCCACCATGTTAATTATCAGGTTATCTTCATCGTCACTTGATCATCCCCATTGTCATCAACTTGCACATTGTTGAGTAATGTGGCTGAATTGTGTACTTCCATAGTAAATCCAGCGTTGTTACGAGTTGCATTTGAGCAGTTCTCTCTTTCCAAAATCTTGTTCATAACCGACTTCATAATGTTAAGCTCTTCCTCATTTACTCCAAAATTTTCACTTTTATGATTATAAGCTTTTTCTTTAACTGTCTCAGGGCCAGAATGTTCCTCACAGTCACAAAAGTGTACAGGGAGAGAAGGAAATTCAACACGTTGGAAACTGTATTTGTGCTTGCCCGATCCTTTAAAAGGCACTGCTGTTATCTTTAGGAAGAAAAGTAATAAGCACAAACAATATATATCAGTGTAGGATAAAATAATGGAGAATCAAAGTAATAGATTAATCAAATCGAAGGCCCGTGTTCACACAGTTTCCTTAAATCGAATTCGCCGCCTCACCGGGGTGCACGAGGTTTTGATCGGTGTTCGATTCTCAGGATACAATCGGTCGTTGGTTCACGTTGCACTACGTTTACCACCTACGAACCCGCTGTGACTCTT